ACTAGAGAAAACACTAGTAAAGTCACTAGGCGAAAGAGATGACATCTAACGCCGGCTGAAAGAGCCGAGCGAAAGATGAGTAGAACATCGGACGACGGCCAATCAGGCCGCTCCGAATGTAAATTAGACCAATCACATAGTGGGAAGAAACGTGGTAGGATGAGACCATGTTTCGAAACACTGTGGTGACGCTGACAATAGCTGTTTCCCAATTCGGAAATCCACCCAGCTGTGTTAGGGAGTTCAGGGCCGACGTACAGGCGTTCCAACTGGGTGGTTCCGAAGGGCGCCGTCGACTTAGACCAGGGACCAACGGCTAGGTGAAAGGACTAGCGCCCCCGGGATCCCGTCGAGTTGATTGATGGCTGTGGGGTAACGGATGACCCACAGTCGCTGAGATGCTCAGACTAGGGGGAGAAGGCCCTGGTAGATTTCAGGACAGTTCGCGTTAAGTGCTGGTCTCGAGCGGATCTTTTAGGAGCTCGGGATCAGTTGGTGGCAATAATCCCTGCCGGGATTATGAGGGGTACGTGGTTCCAAGGAATCTCGGAATAGCAAGAGAAGGGGACACTTATGTGTCCCCGATCAGTGCAATGGATTACTTTGAGGCTACGGATGAGAATCCGAGGCTACAGAGATCCATCTCTAGGGCGAAATCCATGGTGTTGGGGTGGACTAAGGGCTCGGATTCAAAGCGTTTCCCGTCGGTCCGGTCGCACGCGCCTCCATGGGAAGTAACTCTAGTTTTGACTCGCGATGAGATTGCTATTATCGAGTTTTCGAGTTGGGGTGGACGTTAGGTGGGTGAGAAAGGTCTCCGGATACCTACGTCGCATGTGCCTCGAGCAGTTCGGCGCCCTGCGGGGTGAGAAGGATTCGCAGGTAATCTGTGTCTTGTCTGGGGTTGAGCCAACCCAGAGGAGAGAGTACCACGTGCGAGGGATGGTAACATCCCTCCACGAGGGTCTGTGGAATACGTTCCCCGAAAGATATCGTCGACGATGCCGTAAGCACGGCAGAAGTTAGTGATTGAAGTTACTCGTACGTTGGTGAACCTCGCCCACTCTACCGTGACATGCTGATGCTCGCTCGGAATTGTGAGACCCGCCACCGAAAGTCCGCGGAGTTGACGAAATTCCTTCGCGGCTGGTTTTCCGTCAGGTTTTCCAGAAAAACCTGGCTGGCGCCCAATCATGAACGATAGAGGCGGCAGCCAGAATAGTTTGAGGATTATCCCGGGGTGTTGACCCGGGAAAAATACTCTTACAAGCAATACCGATATGCTCCGGCATACCGTCTGCCCTATTATTTTGTATTTTGACAACATAAGGTATTTGCAATACATACTACCGTATCGTCTCTATCACTTTGTTTTCCATAATTTTTATATACAGACAGTATGGCTAAGTATTCAAAGAATCGAGTCGACGAAGGGCATACCGTCTGAACTACCGCTTCATAATTGACACAGACGGCATAAACCCTTATACTCGTATCACAGACAGCATGACGTGTGAGTTACTGGAGACGGTATAGAGCAATACCGATATGCTGTGGCATACCGTCTGCCCGATTATTTTGTATTTTGACAACATAAAGTATTTTCAATATATACTACCGTATCGTCTCTATCACTTTGTTTTCCATAATTTTTATATACAGACAGTATGGCTAAGTATTCAAAGAATCAAGCCGACGAAGGGCATACCGTCTGAACTACCGCTTCATCATTGACACAGACGGCATAAACCCTTATACTCGTATCACAGACAGCATGACGTGTGAGTTAGTGTAGACAGTATAGGGCAATACCGATATGCTCGGGCATACCGTCTGCCTTATGACTTTGTATTTTGTGAGTTTTTTCATCTACAGATGGTATCGTAAGAGTGCAAATTTGATGACGGTATAGCTCGATCGATTGAGCTAGAGCTAGAGCTAGAGCGCGTTTGTTGATACAGACGGTCTAGATTTTCACGCTAATATCATGGACGGCATGCCGTGTAGGTAAGGTAGTGTACACGGTATAGAGCACTAGCAATATGCTCGGTCATACCATCTGCCTTATGGCTTTGTATTTTGTCATTTTTTAATTAAAAAGTGGTACGTAAATGTTCATAATTGCTGACGGTATAGCTATACCGCTAGAGCCGGAGCTGGAGCTTGTTTGATGATACAGACGGCATAGATCCTCATGCTGATATATTACACTATTAAAAAATTTCATCTGAAATTTCCGGTGCACTTCCCTGATTATTCCCCTCAACCAATAGAAATACAGTATTTGACGTTTTGCGGTAGAGTGGAGGTAGAATTATTTCGATATTTTTTCAGTTATTCCCAATTCGTCGCATGACAACCAAGTGAAAATTGTCTGTTATAATAAATGAAAGTTGCAGTATGAATATGACTTTAACCCGCAAAAACGTCAAATACTGGATTCTTATCGGTGGGCATTCAGATTTGGAGAATAATCTAGCCGAGTCTCCTTCGTGCTCCAAAATTGTAGAAAATTTTTCTCGAATTTCCCAGCATATCAACGATCGGGAGAAGTTTTGCAACATAACCCCTTGCATTTCGCGCTCCGGATTTTGAGCTGCAAAACGTTTCCCTCTCATTGCTATGCAACAAAACAATCGAAAAATTTTCCACAATTTTGTAGCATTCGGGGGATTACGACTGAAAATTTTGTCCTATTTAAATTTCACTGAAACTTCATGTAATTCTGTTGTTAGAAATTCAGAACTCCACGGAAAAACAAATGAAATCTAGAAATTTAAGTTATATTTGGAACCGAAAATTCATAGAAAACCAGAAAATCGTGTAAAAAACCATGAAATTTCAGGTTTTACTGAAAATTCAGTGTAATTTGGCACTGAATTTTCAGGTGTCATGGAAAATTGAATTGAATTGATGAAGAACTCTCATTCTCGTGCCACCGAAAATTCAGATATTTTACTGAATTTTCAGTGAAATCGCAAATTTCAGGTTTTTTCCCCCTTAAGTTAAATTCAGTGTCACTGTCTTGAAAATTAATAGTCAAATGTCCATGAAATTTCCTTTTATTTTTTTAACAGTATGGACGGCATGACGTGCGGGTACGATGGTGTATAGACGGTATAGGGTACATTACCAGAATGCTCGGTCATACCGTCTGCGTTATGACTTTGTATGTTGTGAATTTCTTATGTACAGACGGTATCGTAAGAGTTCCAAATTGGTGACGGTATAGCTACATGGAACTGCTCGTGTGGATTCACCCTGTATAAATGCACAGTGCCTCCTGAGCATTGCGCCATGACACTTGTGGTGGGCGCCATGACAGTGCTCTGCTTTTTTTAATAGGGAAAGAAGATATTCCCTTCATTATCGACTCATTATTTTCACGATGTAAAATTGGTCTTTATCGCGGCACACATATGCGAGCGCATATGTTTCTGACATTTTTAGGTTTTTCTTTTAACGGAATTTGCATTTTTAATATTCTATGATGGCACAATTCTCTGGAATTGACTTCATTTTTCTTCCAACACAATTGGAAATTTTCTTCATTATTGTAATGAAAAAAACGGAATTGATTTGGAGCTATTCTTTTTATTTTCAAAATTTTATTTAGAATTTTATTTGGAATTTAGAAAAATAACTGGAAAACTAATCCTAATTTTACGCGAGATAGCTCGACGGCTTTTATAGATTCCAACCATAATATTTTATTTACCGAAAAGATAGCTCTAATCTCGGCGCCACGAGTTTGGGGGGATCCAGTAATGACATGGCTTTCATAGATCAGATTTTTAAGGTAGTAGGTAGCTTCTCTTTCTGATATCAGGTAGCCGATTATCACGTCCAGTGAGTGATTCAGGTAGCATTTCACTGGGAAGTGAAATTTTTTGTGATTTTTAGGTAGCTAATCGCAATCGGTCTCGGGACCATTTTGGGTAAGTTAGAGACTATTTTTTGTGGTTCTCTCTCACTCTAAACCTAGTTAATTACCCTACTAGACTACAAGTGACGAATGCGCCAGGAATTTCGTCACAAAATAATTGGCAAAAAATTAAGGTTGTAATAGGAATTGACGTGGATGACACCAGAGAGGCAATCTGAAGTTTACCTAAACATCAACAATCATTTCATGACAGGAAGCAACAGAGGGTGCTTTTTTTGGTGACGAATATTTTTTTATGTCATCGCGGCCGGTAAAACGCGAAAGGAATCATTTGGCCGTGGAAAAAACTGTGAAATAATTATCGACGAGTTTAGGTGATCATGTACGGTCGGGCTAGAGGCAATACTCGTTGAGGCAAGTAAAGGGAACCAAAGGGGCTCTTATTTCTCTTTCCTTTCTCGATCCGTTTTCTCTCCAAAATCCTTTTTTGAATCCGCCATCTTCGAATTTTCTTTTTCTTTTCCTTATTCCTTATCCAGCCTCAGTTCCTTCCTTCGATTCAAGGCCCTGTACCAGTGAATCTCCACAATTGTCCGAGGCACTATTGGCTGGTCAATCTTATCATCGGGGCAGTCGAAATTTGAGTGATAGTCATCACTCACCATCCGTTTTTCTTTTTCTTCCTTTTGTTGTTTCAGGCAGTGGGGGATCTTCATCGGAGGTTCACTTGGCGGTTTCTTGGAGGTGTGCAGAGGGTTCGGGGGTCCGGATATGTGGTTGGCTTTTTTGGATGGGAGGTGTCGTGAGGGGGTTCCACACGTGACTGCGAACTACGTGGATTCTTCTGGGAGGGAGTGGCGGTGGAAAGATATTTCGGGAAATGCGAACGAGTTTCGAGAAAATTAGTGTCTGGGACTTGGTCTAATTAATTGATGAGAATCTCTCAGTCGGTATTTAATTATCTATTTGCTCAGTTTTATTTGGGAGTGGGGAATGGGTGGAGCAGTTGTCACGTTTAAAAATACGCGGTAGCTCTCGATCTGATTTTCGAATCGTGGATGCAGAGAAGAGATTCGTAAATTGACTTGGCATATACACTACCGTAAATCTCGGTAAAAAAAATTCAGTCACATTTTTTCCACTCACTCACTGATTCGCATAAAGTATTATTATTTCTATTTATTTTCTTACGCTTTTGATATTCAAGGAGTACCATCCAGGGAAACTCATCAATTTCGGCTCGTTCTCCTCCGAGTATTCTCAACGAGAGGTCACGACCACAATCATCAGGCAGAAGATCTGCCCGAGAGGCAATACTTCCGTTGTTAGTTTCCCCATTTTGATCCGAATCAGGCCCCACCGATTGATGCTGCCCAACACAGCAAACTTTGGGGTCTCGACCTTCAAATCCACACCTGGATTCCTGTAGAAATCTAACGTTCTGCGGGTCCAGTGGTCGAGATTGAAGGATATTCATGAGAGCGGTACATTGGCGTATATTAATGCAAGAGCCCACATCGCCATTAGGATTCCTGCAAGCGTCAGGACTCGATTCTGTAAATTAAAAATCATACAGATTCTATATAGGTTTTAATACGATTTATAGTATATTGTACACCAAGACTGGAAAACAGGGCATTTTAACCGACGGGTTTGAATGTCCTGTTTTCCTTTCTCAGTACACATTGTTCTTTCCGTCATTAGTACATGGAAAAGTTTAATTTTCCGTGTAGGTGTGATGAAAATTACATATATGTCCCATCTTTTCATAGCTCACGAAGTCAGTATTCGAATGGTTGACATTTAATCACTTAATGTCGACGCGAGGCGAAGTTACCACTATTTGAATATCAGGAAACATGCGGTCGGTATGTCACGTCTAATTTGGAGATTTTTGGTTCCAGCAAATGTTCAGCACCAGTGTAAGCAAAAAATGCAACATTTCCGGTATCATATGAAATGTCTACCTTCCATTTTTGCCATACATCACAGGTTCTCAGCAAAATAATAGAAGAATAACTATGACTTTTATATACAATTTTTAAGCTCAGTATGTTAGCTTTCGAATGATACATCATTCGTGCATTCCGTTTCGAGTTATGAATTATGGAACTTTATAACGACGTGGCACGTGTCTCTATTGCCCTAGTGATGCATAAAGAGTTAAAGAATCAATTTTCTTCGAGCCTTCCGAAAAAAATACATAAATCCCATGAATTTATATGAGACGCATTTTATGTAAAGAAAAATTTTTTTTTATTCACTAGAACATCTTAATTTTCGCCGCTATTTGTTGTCCATATTTATTGAGTGAGCGCTTTAGTAGGCACGAGATGAGACTTCCTTTCACAGTAATTTTCATGATATAGGAAATATATTGGAAAAATGCACATACTCGGATAAAATTTTTTTAATGCCGCAAGTAACTATTTCTCTTTCTTTTGATATCGATTATGACCCTTTAATACCTAAAAATAATAAAATACTTTTTGTAACGAGCATCGGGGATGCCCGTTAGGATCCCCAATAAAAATCCAAAAATGGAGAGAGAGAGAGAGGCAGTTGGGACGTAGGTTAGGTTTAGGGAAATTAGGATTTCCCCCCTTTTGGGGTGGTTTAGAATAGGTTAAGGGTTAGAGGGAGTTTTAGAGGATAGGGTCAGCCCTCC